TAAGATCACCAGTAATTATTACGTTTTTAAACCTAGGCAAATAAATATTAAATTTAGTGAAAAAATCAGAAAAAAGCTGACCCTCCGGCCGTCGGTACACAACGACAAATAAAATGCTGTGCTGATGAGATTTAATTTCAAGAAAGAGGTACTCCGGAGTATTAATGTTCGTATTGTCTGAACTATCAATAATAGAAAAAACTAACGACTTGTGGAGGTAACATGCGACACCTCCCCCTTGGATATAACGCGATTTACCATCCGCTCAAAGCGCGCGATCGTTTCGAATGAAGTTGTAGTTTTCGATACTATCGCACGTCGAGTCGACAAGTGGAATAAGGGAGGGAGAGAGAGAGAGATGAGAGAGAGAGAGAGAGAGAGAGAGAGAGAGAGAGAGAGTAGTAATTCGAGCAGGCAATCCGTACGACTTGATTGCATCAATTCATAAATCATATTATTCATTCTATTTGTGTAAAACGGGAAAAACTGATACATTGTGATCGTGATGTAATATTCCGTAAATAAATAATTGCTTTCTATAATTATAAAAACGTTATCATTAATTTCCGTTCATGTTATTGTCCTCTATATTCATACTTTACAAAATTATATTTAGTTTATATCTTTGTCACAACGTATTACTTATAATTAAAAAAAAAAGAATTCTTTGTATGGTGATACCAGTGTAGGCCATGTCCGAGCATAATTAAGTGTAACATTTCTCACAAATATGTTCATGAACATTGTGTAGGATTAACTAAAAACGATAAAGGGCCTTTTACTTATCCAAACTACGAGTAGATACATAAGCATAGTTTTAAGAAAAAGAAGAAATTAACATAGGTATTTAATGTTTAAATTGCTAAATAGCTTTTTTAAATGTTTATACATCAATATGTTTACATAAAAAAATTATGAACCTATAAAAGTAACGTTTTATCATTTTAGTTTTTATATTTTCAATATTTTCATTTGAAAAAAGAATATATACGCGATACGCATTTTGCTAAGGAGTCCCAAACGCTACTCTTCTTTTAAATCTTTACTGCATCTATACATATATAAATATATAAACATGCTTTATTTTTTTCAATATTCACAAATATTCCCTCTTTCGAATGTGATTTAATTTTCAATTTTAACCTCAGCAAAAAATTAAAAAAATTCTCAAAGCTTAAGAGGCCCAAATTGAGTTTTTACCTTAAGAAAAATTTGTTGCTTATAATAATATGTGCTCCTTTAAATCGAACAAAATCCTCCCCTCCCCTCTGGATTTTCTCGTCATTAAGAACAACAGAGAGATATTTTAAATAATCAATACCAAAAATTTAATGCCCATAATGGTTAGAGCTGGATCTTTAACACTTAAACAACTTAATGTGAATTATATATATATATATAATACATGTACATACCATACTTATAGTCATTTAAATTTCGCGCAAAATTAGTTTTTCGGACTTACAAATGTAATTAAACTACTGTAATAATATTAAAGATATTAATGTGCTGAAAAACTGTAAATAAAATTGGGAAAAATATTACCTCGGCCGGGAGTCAAACTCGGTTCTCTTGTATTCTGTGTAATCCTCCTAAGCCTTTATACTACTGAGGCTTTAGTAAATAATATTCTTCGCAATAATCGGTATATGTGTGGAAACAGTGTCGTTCTTTTTCAGGCGACATAATATAAA